CCTTCCTCTACAGTGGGTTGTGGGGTTGAGATGGAAATTTGGGGGAATGGGAGTATGTAAGGAATAGGGTTTTGGACAATGACTAGGGAATTTGGGCAATAAGGGCCCAGGGAACTAATTTCCACCTTCAGCTCCTCTCAGCCCAGTTTAGGATGGTGTGGGGAGAGCTACAGTAAACCCTAGTCTGCGCTATTACCTGCGTGAATGTGAAAAGCTGGTAACTCCTAATCTGTCCCATTACCCGTGTGAACGTGAAAAGCTGGTGGGGAACCCCTTACTGCCACCAAGCAAAAAAAAAAAACCCAGAATTTAAAACCTTTGTGCAATATGGTGAAAGTAAGAATTTTTTTGTTTAATGTGAGAGAGGTAGTTTAGTGACTAGTGCTGGTATGTTTGAGGATGTATATAGGGGAATCCCCGGCCTTGGTTCTGAGCATAGACAAAAATTGGTTCCAGATTTTTTCTAATGCTATTTTTAAATTGGATGGTACCATGAGCTTTTGTTAAAGGAATCAGGTAATATGCCTTATGATTTTAAGTGTGCATAGCCCTCTGTGCAGCAGTCCTGCTGTGGAACAGCCATCCCACAGACACAAAAACCTGTATAGAAGAGAGACCTGTAAGGGAAACCTTTCTGAGTTATATGGTTTTGACTCCATGGTGCCTCTGAAGCCTTCCTGGTCTACTTCACCACTCCATAAATATAGACAACTGTTATTAATGTAGAAACAACTCACACCCACATGTGAATAATGCTCCCTGGGACTTCAATGGACTTCCCTCCTTGACTTGAAAAGGCCAAACTTGCCTCAATTCACATGACCATTTCACTCTTTCTAGTCTATGAATGTCTCCTTCTTTGGGCTGGTTCTGAATTGGTTTCAATGGTGCTTCAGTAATGAGTTCAATAAAGTGTCTGATGTTTATTTTGTATCTCTGAGAGTCATGCTTATACTTCCTAGTAAGAATCATCCTTTAAACTGGGCATGGTGGCTCATACCTTTAATCTAAGCACTGGGGAGGCAGAGGCAGGCAGATCTCTTTAAGATCGAGGTGAGTTCCAGGCCAGCTGGGGCTACAAGGAGACCTGGTCTCAAAAAACAAACAAACAAAACAAAACAAACAAATAAACAAAAAACCCCAACCAAACAGCAACAAGAGAGCAAGGAGTTAATATATATATTGCCTTATCTTTATTTTTAGAGGAACAAAAAAGCCTAAATTGTGTGCATAGTTATATTCTGGGGTGAGCACATGTAAATTGTAGACATATGCAGTTACTTAGGATGGTGAGACTTGTTACTGGAAAATATCATCAGCTTAGGAAATTATTATAAATTATTTCAGATATTGAAAACATCTAAGGGTTAACTAGTACAACAAACACAGATGCACCCCCACTGGAACGCAGTACCTCTGCGGACATATCCTGGGCCACACTGTGCTTTCTCCTTCCAGATGCTGTGGTTTGCCATTCTCGTGTGTGGTCTCAAGATTTTACTTTACATGTATGTATTGTAACATTTGATGATATAATCATTTTTTAATTTGAAAATAATTTTTGCTTATTTTCAAAACAATTATAAAAGATAAAAACATATTGAAGATTTTTTAAACCCTTCTCAATATGAGGCCTTTGTGATGAATTCAGATACACATCAATATATGTAATGCATATATATAAAGCCTGCTTTTGAGTTACAAGGAACATATAATTTTAAATGCCCATTAAGATGGGTCTTTCTAACCAGGTATAGTGCTGCTTTAATCCTAGGATTCAGGAAGCCAAAACAGGAGGATTAAGATTCAAGGCCTGTCTGGGCTGCAGAGCAAGTTCAAGGCCATCCTATGATACACAATGAGACTCTGTCTCATACAAGCAAAAACAAACAAAATAAAACAGCAATAGCAAAAACTTTGCTGAGACGCAGAAGTCTAGCAGAAATGACATGCCAGACCTTGTATTTAGGTAAGAAAATGAAACTAATATCATCAAGGATTCTCAATTTTCAGTCATTGACCACTGTGGTTCTGGTACTGGAACAGAGGAACTAATTGATAGAAAAGACTCAGGGTCCTACAAGTGTCCCTGTACATATGAGAACCTAGGATGTAAAAATATATGCTCTTACAAATCAATAGGGAAAGTTAGACCATCAAATAAATGATGCTAGAGTAACTCGCTACCTGACTGAGGGTGTTCTGGATTGTTTCTTCATTGCTGTGACAAAATACTCTGACCAATACCAACTTGGGAAGGAAAGGGTTTATTCAGCTTACATCTCCCAGGTCACAGTTCATCAGGGAATAATGATTTCTGTCCTAGTTTGTTTCTCCATTGCTGTGATAAAACACTCTGACCAACTTGGGGAGGAAACGGTTTATTTTATCTTACATCTCCAGGGTCACAGTTCATCAGGGAGCCCAAGGTAGGAACTTAGGGCAGGAACCTCCAGGAGCTGGAGCACAGGCCGTGGTGGAACACTGCTTACTGGCTTGCTCCCCCGGCCCCCGCTCAGCCTGGTTTCTCATACAACACAGGCCCGCCTGCCCAGGGGTGGCACCACCCACAGTGAGCTGGACCCTCCCACATCACTCAACAATCAAGAAGATGCCCCACAGACGTGGCCACAGGCCAGTCCAATAGAGGCAATTCCCCAATTGAGGCCCCCTCAACCCAGGTGTGTCAAGTTGACACTAAAGCTATCCAGCACAGAGGGAAAATCATATATATGACTATTTACTGCACATAGTAAAAGAAACTTCAGATTGTTTAAAGCATAACATTTTCATCTAACTAATGAAGAAAATAGCAGAGAATCCAGTAAAAGCAGTATCTCATCTGAGCGCTTCTTCTGAACCAAAGAAGACAGAAAATGACCCAAATAACTGATTTCTAAATTCTAACAGTTCCACAAAACTGGTACTATTCTAGATATTTTAAACAGAAGTTAATTAATTTCATACAATAGGCTGTAGGATAATTAGGGTTTAAATTTCTCAGGAAACCCTTGTTGAAAAAGGCTAAAAACAAATAATAACCAACAACAACAAAAAACCAGTTGCAAAATGGACAAACAGGCATTCATTTCCTAACCCACAAAGCTCTCAAGCACTAATAAAAGATGGCTATGTCAATATAAAATAACTGAGAGGCAATAGAAAGAAGAAAAAGATGCCAATTTCAATAGGCACCAAACTTTTATCCCTAACTAGTAACAAATAATTGAAACTAAGCAAAAATGACATAATTTTCAATTGTCAAAAATGGTAAAAACGAAAAATCAAAGCAAAACAAACAAAAAAACCCACCAAAGATGTGGTGAAACTAACACCCAGGTACTTTCGGTGGAGTGGAGTAGATTTGTCCCTCGGCATCTGTCGGGGACTGGTTTGAGGCCCTACTTCAGATACCCAGATACAGGAACATGCAAGTGTCCCCCACAAAATGACATATTTGCATAATCTAGGCATGTCCTCTAGAATACTTCTCTGGCATGTCCAACCTGCAGCCCAAGACCTCCAGAGTCTCAGGATGCTTAGGAATGCTACCTAGCACATTTGTGGGAACAAGGCCGTGCCAGCAACATCAGAAGGATGCACACCTCTGTGTCATCTCTACGTTACATTTAAAGCATAATACGATGTAGTACTATGCAAATATTTGGTAAACTGTATTACTTAAGAAATAATGACAAAGAAAAGCGTCCGAACATGTTCAGCATAGATAGCTGTTTTTGGAAGCTTTTGGCTTTGTTTTTGAGGCAGGACCTCACTGTGTATCCTGGGACTCACTATGTTCCTTAGACAGGTCTTAAACTCAAGACCCCCCAACCCCCCGCCAAGTGCTGGGCTTTTGGGCATGAGCCTCCACATCTGGCTTAGAATCTCTTTGGTTCACGGTTGGTTGGATTTGAACCCACAACGCTTGTTCATATGGGATCAGACTGCATGATCTTTCTGGAAGGTAGTCTGGCCAGTGAGAGAATTATGCCAATGTACAATAAATGTACAATACAGGAATTTTGACTGCAGACTTTCCTGATATATGAAAAGTATATAAGCAACATGAACATCCAGCAGTAGAGGCCTGTTTACTAAAGATTCTTCTGTGGGCCTATCAATAGGTGAATTATAAATAAAACTCAGAAGAAGAATCAGAAATGGTACCACCAACTAGACTACCTTGTGGTTCTTTGGGGGATGAGCTGAGACCAAGCCATGTCAGAGAAAGTTCTTCCCTAGAAATAACCTCTTCAAAGCCTTGCATGGTTTGCTTTTGGACACATCTGCCTTAAGTCAAGTGGCTTCTTCTCTATCAGAAGCCAAGATATTTAAACATGCAGCTGATTCAAAAGTTATGTAGAAGACAAGACACTGAGGACTCCTTCAGGCCAAGGTAGTTGCAGCTTATGTGTTCTATAGAAGGCATTCCTCACTGTTCAGATTAGCAGGGGTGTTTTGGAGATAAGACTAAGGGGCAGGGAAAGAGGGAGAGTGACAAGTCACAAAAGACAGGACCACAAAAAGTAGTGTCTACAGCTGTGGAAAGGAGAGGAACAGGTTCTAGAACAGAATGAGCAAAAACAAATGGATGGTGGGGGGTGATGGTGAGGGACAGATGTGTGGGCAGAGAGTCAGTCAGAAGGCTGAGTGAAGTCAGCAACAGTTGAGATGAATTCGTGGATCGGGATCTCAGTGAACGAAGCCCCTGTTTCTCTTTCATCATTTCCAGTCATCAGCAGCAACCATTGTCTCCATCATTACCAGCCTTCCTGTCACCTCGCTGGAGCCTGTCAACCTGTATCTCCCACCTCCTCAAGTTCTCTCACCTCATCGCCCTGCTGGGAATTCATCAAGATATCCAGTTTTCGTTTCTAACCGTTGAGCTGCCCCCACCCCCCAGCATATGTCTAACTTCACCCTTAGAAAGGACCCCCCCCCGCCAATTTTCTCTATGTTTCATGAGGGTCACAGGTAGAGGGTGAGCTTATTAAAACTTAGTTCCAGGACTTTGGTGGCTCCAGGCTGAGGGGAAGCATGGGTGGGGGTGGGGGACAGGGCAGATGGCTAGCAGGGGTTGGGTGCAAGGTGGGGTACCAGTCCTCAGGCTGGTGGGATAGGGTAAACGAACCACCTGTGGAGGGCTGGGAGGGGAGGGGATGATTGTAAGGGTGAGGGAAGCAGGCCACCGGTGGAGGTGGAGTAGTGTAAGAGTAGGGATAAGCAGAGGACTCAGGCAAGAAGCCAGAGAAGGTGGCAGGAGACAGATGGGCCATTGGCTGGAGCAGTGACCGCTCTTGCTTCCGTTGCTTAGCTCTGCGGTTCTGGAACCAGACCTTGAGGAGAGGGGAGAAGGGTCACATCAGTGCTCCTGTCCTGAATAGGTAGGTGGCACTGTCTCATACCTCCAAGGTCAGGGGGCACAGACATCACCAGAGAAATGACAGTTCTTCCAGAGGGCTAGCAGAGTCAGGGCTGCTGGGAAACTGGAATTCTTACCCTTACTCCCAACCTGTATCTAAATTTGACTGACTTCTACAACTTTGTAAGAAATGGCAACTTCCAACAAGAATGAGATAAATGTGATGATGGTTACTCTCCCCAGCTAGTGGGAAATCACCCTAAAGTTTAGGTTTAGAGGTGAGTGCTGTGGGGAAGCAATTGTTGTGCATGGGGTTGGATTTAAGATAGGGTTTGTATTTAAGGCTAACTAACTCTGTGGTCAACACTGTGGGAACATCAAACTTGTTGAACTGCAAGGCTATGGGTTAGAGAAGACTGCACACATGTCAACAGGATTGAATGTCTGTTGGAGTTCATGTCAGTATTAAATGTTGGGGGCTGTGTTACTGATTTTCTTTAGGTTTGTCTGTGTGGTGCTGGGGATCTGACCCAAGGCTTTGTACATGCTAGACAAAAGCTCTACCCCTAAGCTACCTACCTCCTCAGTCCTGAATGTAAGTATTGAAATTCAAGTTAGATACACTTAGAGCTGGGGGATATTTAAGATGCACCCACCAGAGGTTATGTTCATTAATGGATGAAGCCTACATTCTGAAAAATATTTGTTAAGGTTAAAATCTCCCCACCCCAACTATGCCCAGACACCAACTATGCCCAGGCACCAACTATGCCCAGGCACCAAGGAAATGTGCATTTCTTCCGGGAGTATCCTGGGGCAGCATCACCTGGATTCTGGCTTCACTGAGGCCGGTGTCCTGAGCAAGACCCTCACGAGCCCAGATGTCGGGATACTGATTCCTCCCAAAAGCTGACTCCAGCCGTTCCAACTGCCCTGGGTTGAAGGTTGTGCGGTGGCGGCGCCGGGAGTGTGGGTGGCTCCTCTGTCCTCCTTGCCTGCAAAGCCTGTGTCTCCCCAGGCCTGCACCAGAGAGTCTCCTACATGACTCAGGGCTCGTGTCTGTGGAGGGAGGGAAATGGAGGAGAGCAGCTTACTAGAGGGACCTCTCGGCCATCCTGGACCACTGCTGCTGATCCCTGGGTTCTGCTTAGTGTCCCCTGAGGTTGCTCCCCTGTGGGGCCCTCTGTTTCTAGTAGGACTCTTCCAATTTCAAAGCCGTAGCTCTGCACACAGCTCAGCCTACACCACTGGTCTACCTCTGAGTCCCTAAAGCAAGTTGCACTATTTACATAGTCACCCTTCAGGCCCTCTGCACAGCCCGGGCACTCATGCTCCTCCTCTCTAATAGTCCGCTGTGTACCTGATCTGGTCACACACCTCCAGGTATGTGCGTTCATCTCGGCACACATAGGACCCTCCAGGGCACACCAGTGGGGGTATTTTATTTGCTTTTTGCTCACATTCAACATGCACCATCTTTATGTAGCTCTCATCTTCCTCGCCCCACCCTGGAGGACGAAGTATCCACTTCCGCCTTTATGTTCAGACACACTCTCCTCACAGATGCACTACTTGACGTTTCCCTACCTCTTCCCTGGCCCGGCCACAGGCCTGCAGGAACTTGAGCTCGTGGGAAAGGCTTGCCTCTCCTCTCTGAAGGCTCGCTAAGCCCTCATATTAATTAGTCTAAGAGCCACTGGGGAAGAGAAAGCAGGGAGGGAAGAGGAGACACCTGGGAAGGTAAGAGCTGAGAAAAGGAGGGGTCTAGAGCAGGGACACCCATCCCCATGGGGACCCAAGGGTGTGGCTTCCACTCAGTGTTCAGTGTCCACAAACAGATATTGAACTGCCCTCTCTGGATCACATCCCTATTCCTTCCAGCTCCCTCCCACAACTTGGAAGTTAGGAGCCAAGAAACAGTCTTCAGCTCCCAAGACCCAGCAGAGGAGAGGTGTATGGCATCCAACAGCTCCTTCAAGCAAGGCCTCACTCCCCCAGTCTGCAAAGTGAAGGGGTTCTGCCTCTAAGGCTCCCAAGGTCTTAGCATCCTAGGATTCTGTTTCCTGTTTCTCTTTTCACTCTCCTTGTGGCAAGCCATTGTCCCACAGTATATCAGACATCAAGACCCACACCTGCTGCCCCTCAGGGACCCAGCCCATCCTGGGCATTCACTCACCTACTGTGGAGATCAGAGTTCCAGAAGCCAGGTGTCTGTCAGGCAAGAGACTACTGCAAGCGTGCGCCTTCTTCTGTGTGCCCTGCTGGCCTCTTCTTTCAGCTTCCATGGCTAGACACCAAAACCAAAGATGGGCCAGCCTCCTGCGTTCCCAGGCCTCTGGTCCTCTGGTTCCACGGTCGTCTTCTGTTGCTGTTGATTCCTTCTTGTCTGCTGATCTCTTTCCTCCCTGTTCTATCTTGGAGCTTTTTCTGGGTCTCTCCTCTCTCTCTCTCTCTCTCTCTCTCTCTCTCTCTCTCTGTAGGTATAAGTAAAGCTAGATATCTATCTTCTGTCTTATTTTTATCTAATTCCCGATTCCTCTCCCCGAAGTATCATCTCCTTCTCTCTCTTGACTTCACCTGATTCTTTCTACTCTCCCCCCTGCTCCTTTCCTCCACCAGGAGGCTGCTGTCTTCACTCAGCCGTCTACTTTCCCACACTACCCCTCTCTCTCCCTGAGTCTTGGAGATACAACCTCCTCCTGGCCTCTGTGGGCCCATCCAATCATTACTTGGTCACCAGAGCCCCCTTGCTCAGGGGAGGATCACAAACCGGATGAGGGAAGGTACTCTATCAGAGGGTCCAGGGCTGGGGCCAAGAGCTCATATTCCCAGGGGACCAGGTTCTTTTGTCCTGTTAAATCCCCCCTCTGGGAGCAAACGGGAAGGAGGAGAAAAGGCATTCCTACTAAGGCCTCCCTCCTCAGAACCCCATTGTGGAGAGTGAGAAGGGAGAGGGGAACAAGTGAGGGCCAGGAACAAGGCCTGTCTGGCATCCCAGCATGCAGGGGATACTCAAAGACCTGTTTCCAGGAAGCTCAAAAGTTGAAAAAAAAAATCACAAGTGCTGCTGCTCCACTCAGACGCCTTGATGTGTCTCAGAATACCCCAGGCATTGGGTCCCATGTCTCCGGCCCCTCCACAACCCAAGCCCACCCCCAGGATTAGCTTATCCATGAGTGAGTGCATTCACTCCTGCGGGAGTCACCAGGACACAGAGTCCTCATGTACTCTCTGATTTCCTCCCTCAAACTTCACCTTCTCATTCATGCAGTGCCCTTGGGGTATCGACCTGTCAGGGTGCCCAGACAGTGAGAGAGCTGTGATCCTCAAAAGCATCTGATTTCAAGTGCACCCTGACCCACCCAGACCTCAATACTCACTGGAAAATGCATTTAGATTTCCTCAACACCCTGACATTATGATTCTTAAGGAAATCTTGACTCTTTGAGGACTCAGGACAAACTGATGCCCCAGCACTCTCTCTTGAGATGACTTAGACTGTGGAAGTCCATTCTGGAAATTCTTAGGACACCCTTTAAGAACAAGCTGACACCCTAGGACCTCTAGATCCTCCAAGAAACACTGAAACCTGAAGACCCTTTGATATCCAGGACATTCTACTTAGGTGATTCTCGCCCCCTTCCGATAAAGCCCTGGCCTCTCAGGACACACACTGACCAATGACACACAAATCCCACCCCTCCTCCCAACACACTATCACTAGGACAATCTAATCCTCAAGGTCATAGTAATTCCTCACATACATCATTTAAAAGCATCCCAATTTCTCCATACAGGATAATCCTGAGTCTTTTATTTTACATCTTCCTCCTCCTCCTCATCATCATCAACACCATTGTCATTATTGTGTGTATGTGTTCATGTGTGTGTGTGTGTGTGTGTGTGTGTCTGTGTGTGTGTGTGCATTTGCATGCTGTGTTACACAAGTGAAGGTCAGAGGACAACTCATGGGCAGTGGGTTCTCTCTTCACCATGTGGGTCACAGGGATCGGATTCAGGTCCATCAGACTCAGCGGCAAGCACTCTTACCCACTGAGTCGCCTTGCCAGTCCTGGGTCCTCAGGATCTTGATGTTCAGAATATGGTCCACAGAACAGCAACAGCAGCAGCACATGGGAGCTTGTTAGAAAGACAGAATCATGGGCCCTGCCTCTCTACCGAATTATCTGTGTTGTAACAAGATCCCCAACAGAACTGAGTGCATACTTTGCTCCAGCAAGGAATGTCCAGTCCCTACCAATCCCCATTCCCTGCTTCACCTCCTACGGGCTTCCCCATCTGCCTCAGTTAGCAGAAGGAAACTGGTGGATTTTAATAACACACCTATGCCATAGTGGGGAATATGAATCTTCACCTTTTTTGTTATTTTTATTTTCCTGTCTTTCAAATAGTTTAAAGAGAGACTAAATTTCCACTGGTTTGAAAACATTTTAAATTACTTTTAAAAATGATTTGGCTTCATGAAGACTGATTAGGAAGGAATCCAGCACTGTAAGGATCCAAGGAAGACTTTTTATCAGATGCCATTTCCAAGTTATAGAAAGGCTTTATTATTTTTAAGAAGTATTTACAAGGGATTGCTTATCCAAACATTCATGGTTCCTTGGAAGAACCACAAGAAAATGCAAAAATCTTATTCAACTTTCCATGAGAAATTTCTGGTTTTCTGTGTCAGGCGTAAAGTAACTGTTACAGAGATTAAAACACAGAATTGGCTTTCTGGTTTTAGTCATTACTTTTAGTATAAATCAGTAAATCGAACCTTAATCCTGAAAGCTTAAGGGTTATTCAGAAGAAAGTCAAGGCACTAACTAGCAGATGACACAAAACAAAGTCACTGTGAAGTTCAATTTCATTAGCCTCATAATTTTCCCTCAGAACAAGTCTGGACACAGGTCAGGGGACGGGGTATATTCTGGGTGTGGTATGGACTTGAGATAAAGTGAGGATGAACAGGAGCTGATGTAGGCACTGTTGTGGCAGCTTCGTTCTGGGAGACTGAGCAGAGCAGGCCACATGGAAGGTATAGGAGGGAAGCCAGGCCTCTTGTCTTGTTTAATATTCCTTTTTAAGCAGCCTGATTTCAAATGGAGGGAAGTTGGCAGGAGGAGCCAGGCCTGGCAGAGAGGAACTCAAGACAGGCAGTTCTTAGGACCTAGGCTTTACCTACAGGCATAAATGAGCTGAGTTTCAGCAAAAAGCCATAGGGGCCAACCTACGGTTACAACCTCTGGGAAGAACGTTTTGCCAAGAGCCCCGTGGCTGCCAGGAGCCCCTTGAGTCCTGCAGGAACACAGAGAAGAACCAAGATTAATCTGACTCAGAAGCTGTCATTAATTTCATGGCTAGCCAATAGTACCATGAGACTAAATGATCTCATCCTTGTTGGGATTCAGCCCATGAATAAATTGTAAACAGGCATTCATGTAGGAATCAACTGGTTTTGTCAACATGTATTTGATAAAAATGAATAAATATTGGATATATTATGGAATCCTGGACTAATAATGAAATAATAGAAAGCTGGAGGTCTGGGACATAGCTTAGTCTGTAGAGTGCTTGCCTAGCGTGGGTGGAGTCCTGGGTTTGACCCCCCAACCAGCACTGTATAATCCATGTGTGGTGATCACGCTCACAATCCCAGCACTGTGGAGATGGAGGAAGAAGAATCAGAGGTTCAAGACTGTTTGGGGCCATCTATGTAGCAAGTTTGAGGCTGGCTTGAACTATATGAGACTGCCTAGAGAGAGGGGGAGGAGGAGGGGGAGAGGGAGGAAGAGGAAGAAGAGGAGGAGGAGAAGGATGAAGAGGGGGGGGAAGGGAGGAGGAGGGGGAAGGGGAGGAGGAGGGGGAGGAGGAAAAGGAGGAGGAGGAACCTATATTATCATAAACATGAACTTTGCTTTCCTTCTGCATCTCATTTCTCAGATGGAGAAACAAACCTGGAAAAATAAACTCGAGTGTCCAAGCTCAAGCAACCAGTCTGAACACCAAACTAAGTTCTCCTCCTGAAATATCTGTGTGTCCAGGGACCATACGAACAACGACCAGTTAGTATGTGTGTCTCTAATGAGTAGTTGTGGGGAGACAGTCCTAGACCCCCCATACTTGGCAACTTGTATCATGCTGCCCCAAACTTCAAGGAACTTAGTCTCCAGGGATAGAGGATCTATTCATTTGCTCCTAGTCATCTAACTGTGACCCAGGAGATCTTTAGTGTCTTATTAAATGTTCTCCCCCATTGAAGAGACGGTCTCTCAGTTCTCAGTCTCATCTGTGAATTTCCAACATTCAGGGTCAAGCAGGGAATTGACAGAGATGGGGATTCTGTGAAAGGCCCTGACAGCAGCAGAAAGCAATAGGTAAGAGGGGCCGGAGAAGCAGGCAGAACACCACCATCTTAACCGCAGATAGATGCACACACATATGTGGGATAGTATTGGGGAAAAACAAGCCGCACAATCCCTCTGTATGTAATGAAGTTCAAGGTAGGGAATGTCTGTTAGCATGACATGTACAATCACCCTTTCAAGATATACTGTTCACTGCAGACCGGTTCAAGGAAGAAGACAGCATGTGCAGGACCCTATAACGCTTGGCCAGAAGCTCAGAGCCAAGAGTCGCCCTTTCTTCCACGCCCAAAGACAGATAATCTGCCAAATACACAAACTTTCCTGTTCTGTCCTGAATCTCCACCCTTGTGCATATATGTCCCATGTCTATCCACTGTAGTCTACAGCTGTATGATAATATATCTCAAGTGCAGCAACTTGGATGCCATGCTGAGTTCCACAGATAGGCCATGGCTGAGCTGGGATAAAGCAGCCTTAGTTTTAACGTCCAGTTTTAACTGTCACTGATGCAGGTACACCAAACAGAGTTCATGTTTGGAAGACTGAAGAGATTAGTACATGGAAGCTGATGCCAACATATTTAAATCATACAAGCTAAAGTTGTCTCCAAGAGATTGGAGCACTCTTCCCCTAGAAAGAAGCTGCAGGGGAAGATGAGTATTAAAAGTCAGAATGTTGGAGCTGGAGAGATGGCTCAGAGGTTAAGAGCCACTGATTGCTCTTGCAGAGGACCTGGGTTTGATTCCTAGCACCCACATGGCAGCTATGAACCGTCCTTAACTCCTGGGTCCAGGGGAATCCAAAGCCCTCTTCTGACCTCTGCGGCATTGCATGACAAGGGTGCACTCACATGCATACAGGCAATATACTCATACACATAAAAATAATAAAATATTTTAAAAGTCAGAATG